TTATATAATGGAGAAAAAGAAGAGAGAAGGCAATGAAAACGGATGAACAGAATTTGGGGAAAGAAAATGAATGAACGATAGAAAGAAAGAAAAAAGAAAACAGAAAGAAATGATTTTTATGAAAACGAAAAAAAGAAAGACAAGCAATAAAGAAAAAAAATGAAAGAAAGAAAAGAAAGAAAGAAAGAAAGAAGGCAAGTAAGCAAGCAAGAAACAAACAAACAAAAAAGAATAAAAGAAAGAAAGCACGAATTCAAGAAGGCAAGAAAATAAGAAAGAAAAAATAAGGCGACTAGGGAAGTAAGAAGTCAATAAGGCAAATAAGCAAACAAGACAAAGACAAATAAATAAATAAATAAAGAAAAGACTAATACATAAAAGAAAGAAAGAAAGAAAGAAAGAAAGAAAAGACTAATACATAAAAGAAAGAAAGAAAGAAAGAAAAGACTAATACATAAAAGAAAGAAAGAAAGAAAGAAAGAAAGAAAAGACTAATACATAAAAGAAAGAAAGAAAGAAAGGAAGAAAGAAAAGACTAATACATAAAAGAAAGAAAGAAAGAAAGAAAAGACTAATACATAAAAGAAAGAAAGAAAGAAAGAAAGAAAGACTGCAAGCAAGCAAGAAAGAATGAATTTAGAAAGAAGGAAAGCCAGGTAGGAAGGAAGTGAGAAAGAAATCAATATGACAGGTAAGCAAAAAATAATAAATAAATAAAGTACGAATTCAAGAAGGTAAGAAAGAAAGCACGAATTCAGTTCAAGAAAGAGAAAATGCAAGCAACAAAGAAAGAAAGAGAGAAAGAGAGAGAGAGAGAGAGAGAGAGAGAGAGAGAGAGAGAGAGAGAGAGAGTCAGAAATACTATGCATGCGCTGTGCTCAGGGTGACGTATTAATCTAGTAGCGATGTGAAAGTGATGAAGCTGTTATAGAACAAATGCCTTGACCGGCCTCTAATTTGATCCAATTTCAAAGATTAATGTCGCAGACGTGGAGCGGCAGCCCATCTCCTTATTATTATTGCAAACCGTTTGATGAGGCCTCATTTGTATGCTGACGAGGCGACTGCTGCAGTTTGGCCAAGGGCACATAACTCATTCTCAAAAACCATTTCGGAGAGGCAATGGACACTCACGGTTCCTTTTATAGACCATATCGAAATACTTTAGTCCTACTTAATTATCTACAGCCGAGGATTGGTGGTGGTGGTGGTGGTGGTGAGGGTGGGGTTCATTGGAGGATATTTAGAAAAGCGCTTAAACCTCTTGTCCCACCAGGGTACATTGTGCGGCTTTCAAGTCCTTTACTTGGGTGAGTGATGGAAGTAGGCTGAGACCGTCATCTCCATGGACGATGATGTAACAACGTGTTCCTAGGGAGGACCTAGAAGATCGCAATTATATCACGCATGCATACGCGCCTGAACACGGGCACCTCCCCACCACACACACACACACACACACACACACACACACACACACACACACACACATATATATATATATATATATATATATATATATAGAGAGAGAGATTGATAAGATAGATACAAACAATAATGCATGCATATATATATATATATATATATATATATATATATATATATATATATATATATATATATATATATATTATATTCTTATTGGTATTAGTAGGTACCAATATAGTTTTGCAGACAATTGTTAGAATAATATTTATTGGTTTATACCGAATAATTATTTAGTAAATTCGTTTTAGTTTTCGGTAGAAGCCAATAAAGTATAGGGCACCTAGTGAGAATCGAACCCACTATTCAGTGACAATAATGAATGACACCAGTCTCTTGTAAATTTTCGTCGTAATCTTTTAAATTAGTATTATTATTATTTGTTTTGTTCGTCGGATCAACTTGCTCATCTTTTTTTATTTTACTCATAACGTTGCGGCTGTTTACCCTCCAAACTTCATCAGGAGCTGTTTTCGTATTCGTAAACCTTCTCAGATTGTCGAGCGGAGAAATTTATCCAATCCACATTGCCGTTTCACATGCTTCGGAGATGTTTCTTATCAGTAAATGTTTATCAGTCTTATTCGCCTTTTGTCTCGCATTTACGTTTCTTTTATTTAACCAGACTCCCTGAATTTTTTTTTTATTATTATTATTTAAGGGACGTCAGGTTTTGTTGGTTAAAGCACTAACAAGTCCATCTGATTCTCGGACAGTTGTGCGGTGCCCGGTGTTACTGAATTTTCACATACATTTTGTGGAATAAACAGCAAAGCAACTCAAACATGAATAAGACTGGTAGCTAATAACTTATATGAAATATTCTCGAAGCAGGGAAAGCAGAATGAGAACATTACCTGTGTTCCCTGGCTGTTGTACGTGCAATCCCTTGATCCGGTACTGCTGAAATGTGAATAAAACTGGTGGGTATTAATTTGCTAAGCATGATAAAACAGAATGATCAACTCCAGTGGAATGAATAAAGGTTTGCATTAAAAATTCTAAGTACTAAGATGTACGCCTGAAGATGACCGCAGGGCACAACAGCCGAAATGTCCTATGTATAACTACTAGTCTGAATAGCAAAGCATATAAGTTTTCTGATCATTATAACATAACGAGGTAAAAGAGTATCAAATTCTCCGAGCCTTATATGTTCTAGAAATACTGTTGCATTCTGATTTTGAGCATGAGCTTTTTGTTTGCACTTTCTTTAAAACTTCCTTGTTATTCACATGTACAGTCCATGGTATCATTGGCATCTTTCTGGCTTGGTTTCGTTTCGTTTGTTTGGGTTTGTTGTACAGCATATCAACCTCAATGGATTATTTAATGCCGAGAAATTTTTTATTGTTGGTAGCATTTTTTATTTTTTATTTTGCAAAGATGTATTGCTGGTAATATTTTTTTTCAAAAATGTATTGCTGCTAATAATTTTTTCCTTCAAAAATATTTCTGATAATATTTTTGTTTTCAAAAATGTATTGCTGTTAATATTTTTTTTCAAAATGTATTGCTGGTAATATCTTTTTGCTTCTAAAATATTTCTGATAATATTTTTTTTCAAAAATGAATTGCTGGTAATATTTTTTTTCAAATATGTATTGCTAGTACTAACTTTTTCCTTCAAAAATATTTCTGATAATATTTGCTTTTTCAAAAATGTATTGCTGGTAATATTTTTTTTCAAAAATGTATTGCTGGTAATAACTTTTTCCTTCAAAAATATTTCTGATAATATTTTTTAAATATATTGCTGGTAATATTTTTTCCTTCAAAAATTTATCACTGTTAATATTTTTTTTTTATCTTTCAAAATGTATTGCTGGTAATATTTTTTCCTTCAAAAATTTATCACTGTTAATATTTTTTTTTATCTTTCAAAATGTATTGCTGGTCATATTTTTTTCCTTCGAAAATCTATATCTAGTTATATTTTTTTCTTTCAAAAATCTATTGCTGGTAATAATATTTTACAAAGTATTTCTGGTATTCAAACCTATTTTTACACATTCATAATGTTTTGACCCCAGTTTGAAAGTTTACTAATGGCCCTAAGCTGGGACTGTAACAGGTGCTACCACCTCGGCTCAGTGTGGACCTGGGAACCCCAGCAACTAAGAGACGGTTTCACGCTCCTCCTGATCAGGTGGGGGGCTTGCTGGATGTAGTTTATCGTGTAACCTAGGACGCTGATGTAGTTTGTAGTCATAACAAGAACGGGTATCTTTCTGTAGAAACGGATTTCTATTCCCTTAAGTCTCTCTTCATCTTGCTTTCCAGTCAATTTTGTTCTTTAAAAATGTAAATGCTGTGTCGATCGCAATCTTCTGTTTTCTTAATTCCTGCTATTTTTTATTCTCACTCCTTAATAATGTTCTTTTTTCATATTCTCTCAAATTCATTAACCTCTTGCGTCTTAGTGACTTTATTTTCTTACGCCAATGATGGAGAAATTATTACTTCGTACCATCGTCAGTGATACACGCTGCAAGAGCCACTCCGTTTAGCGAGGCTCGTACCTTAATCGAGACGCCATTCTGCAGATCCTCTGAAGGAACGCCATCGAACGAGGGCCAACAATCCCAGAAGTCTCCATAGGAGTAAAAAAAAAAAATCTATCAGCAAGAAAAGAATATTTAACTATTTTTTATTTATCTCTGCATCCCGGGCGACAGACCCCAGCTCAACCGCAGACCTGGTAAAATATATCCGCATCCCAAATCAACGACATCCCCATTTTAAAAGTTATGCCACAGTAGTGATTCTTTTGGTCCGTATTTGGCAGTAAAGTTTTCGTTTACTTCAATCATCTATAAGTCTTAGCTATCCAATACTTTGTAATTTTTACTTTCTCCACAAGTCTATTTAAGCAATCAACACAATTAAAAGTTAGCACTCCACAAACAGCGCAGTTTCGAAAATAGTATAACTCGATCTTCTAATGTTATCAATTTAGGATTAAGTAAATTCATTGGAAACTTTCTTTGGTCCAGATCTAAGGCATTAAACTTCTCGTACTCAAGGTCGATTTACTTGCTTATATCTCGCTAACCTTGATATAAGCTAATGTTACGAGACATTAGCTTTCATTCTTGGCTTATGTTACTAGTTATGATTGTATTGTTTGTTGAATCAGTATATCTCTCTACTTACCTATCAGTTGACCCACCCCACCCCGAAGAAACTTTTGGGCAAACACTCAGCAACCTTTTCTCTCATCTAATAATCTTTCTACACGATTCTTCCTTTCAGATTCCGACACCGTCTTTGAGCTGATCGTCGAAAAATTTGTAAAAGGTTTACTCAAGCAATAAGTATGAAAACCATCTCATCATATATATATATATATATATATATATATATATATATATATATATATATATATATATGTTCATATGTTTATTAAATAATATAGACAAGTGGTTCTTTATAATAAAACATGTATGAAGGAAAAAAATGCTGATTAAATCAATATATATATATATATATATATATATATATATATATATATATGGGTTATATATATATAATACAGGTAATATATATAAATATATAAACATATATATATATATATACAGGAAATATATGTATATATATATATATATATATATATATATATATATATATATATATATACAGGAAATATATATATATATATATATATATATATATATATATATATATATATATATATATAGGAAATCCAGTTGATATATATATGAATATTAATATAATATAAAGTAAAATATCAAAATGATTCACAGAGAGATATGTTTTATTCAGAGTATATGGATAATATATTGTTTATATATACATATACATATATATACACAGAGAGAAATGTTTTATTCAAACAGAGTATATATAACCTATTTTATATATATATATATATATATATATATATATATATATATATATATATATATATATATATATATATACAGGAAATATAATACACACACACACACACACACACACACACACACATATATATATATATATGTATATATATACAGGAAATCCAGTTGATATATAATCCAAGTGAATCCTATTAATATAATATAAAGTAAAATATCAAAATTGATTCACAGAGAGATCAATGTTTTATTCAGAGTATATGGAGTAATCCTACTTCCTATTGTTTATAACATATACATGCATACATACATATACACACATACACACACATTTTTTATTTAATTTACTTGTGTTGGAGCAAGTGTTGTCTTTTCTACATACTGAGTTTGTAGAAACTGTCCAAATGTTTTGTAATTCCGAGCGCTTTCGGATATACTTTTTAGCCATTATCAAGGATGATTTTATTTTTACTTTTTAACTGGATATATCGTTTGCGTGTATGTGTCTCGTGTTATAGGAATGC